GACATCTTTCCTGTTTGCTAACAATACCAGTCCTGGGTGGGGGAGAAATACTCTATTTTACTACCCCTCCTTTCCAGTTTAAGCCCCTGCAGCCATCTAGCCTTCCACCTGAACCAGAATAACATAATTGGACTGTAGAATTCTAGAAAAAGAACTAGAACAGTATCAATAAAACCCAAACTTCTAGAAGGGCTAGAACTCTAGAACTCCAACATGATTATAAATAAGCTAGGATTCTAGAAGAAGAGCCAGGCCTTTAGAGGGATTCCAGAACAATATCACTTAACTAGAACTCTAGAAGACGAACTAGAACTCTAGAAGGATTCCAGAATAATATAATTCAATACTAGAAGATGGAGGTCTCTGGAAGCTCTTCGTGGTTCTGAAGTTTTAAGTCCCCTTAAACTCTCATTTTTCTGTTCAATGCTTGAAGACTGAATTTCGGGACGTAAACAGCTTTCTCAGCAGTTTAGGAATATCTTGAATGGACAACATGGCATGCAAGGAAAGTGGGATGGGGAGGAAGGAACAAAGTAGGAAGTTGAGGCATCAGTTCTCCAAGCTTCAATCCTTTTCCTAATTCCTGGTGGTCAAATCACTATGGGGTTCTCTTCTTAGTTGTGGAAAATTAAAATATCTCGGAATATCATGGAAAGGGTGCCCTGTTGCTTGGAAATCCTTTTTTTTTTTCTCCTTCTCCTGCTTGGGTTTTTTTTTTTATTTTGGCCGAGACCAAGTGTGGGAAATCCATCTTCTTCTCGTTGAGATGAAGGTGTCCTCTGTGCTCTCTCGCCCTGGAAGGAAGCGCTTCCAAGCGCTTCTTAAAATGTTTTGCAAGCTCTCTGGAAAGGTAGCCGTGATCCGAATCAGAATGCAAACTTTTCAGAAGAGCAAGCCGGAACAAGTGAGCCCTTAACGGCTTTTTACAGACAAGATACACAGCCTAATCCAGCCGATTTCTTAGGATGCATCAAATCTCTACATTTGCATTCTGACCTGTCTCCTCCCTCTGGACTGTTCTTGTCTTCCAGGATCCGTCCACCATGCCCGAGGTTAGAGAGCTCACCGATGCTTTGGCCAATGTGCCTATGGACCCCATCACCGGCGTTGGCGTCGTCGCCTCCCGGAGCCGAGCCCCGACCAATTACGACGTGGTGAGTATGAAGTCTGCACAACCATCGCCTGAATTGTTTCCTTTCTCCTTTGGGTTTGTATCTATCATCTTTTAACGACCTCATAATCCCTTGCGGGAGGTGGAGAAGCTGAGCAACTGAATGGAGCTAGCACAGTGTTTACTGGCCAGATGCCTTTCCTGTTGCCGGTGTGGAGCTTTGTTCAGCAGAGATATTCCCACTGTGCCCAGTGAGAGAAATATCTGCCTCTACCTAGGATTGAACTCCTGATTGTGAGGTGAGAGCTCCACCTCTGGGCCACCGTACCACTCCACTCCTTCTCTGTATAATGCAAGCAAATTGCTCTTCGTGCATTCTTTTTAAAAAGCACAGAACTCTGTGGAGCTATAAGCCAACTTTAAGCCGGGTTAGCAAAACAACATAGCCAGGTTTGTGGCGCATGATTCCCAAGCGAATAAATCATGATCTTTTTCTAAGCTGCCCAAAGTTGCTTTATTGGCATGTAAACATAATATATAAATAAGAAGGGGGAATGTCCTTGCTGGTCTCTACTTCTTGCAGACATTTCATTACCAAACTAGGTAACATCATCAGGGCTAGTAGGGAATGGAATCAACTCTTATTTTATATTTGGAGTGGCTTTGCCCTCTCAGTGTTGGTTTCCTCCTTTCAACCCTGAGCTACAAATATTGTCCTTTATCAATAAAATAAAATAAAAACATTAGAGTCCACTGGATAGGCTGTTTCACCTATGCTAAAGTAAGGATTGAGATAAATGAGGATGCAAATTGTCTTAGCACAGTGTGAGAACACAGGCTGGCTGTTCTCCCAACAGCTGTGCACAAATTTATCCTGGTTTGGTGGGTGGTCATACCTGAATCCAACTTTCTCTGCTTTCTCCTTTCAGCAATACTTGGTGATTGTTCAGAGAATTCCACTTGTTTTTCCCCTAGAGCAATTTTAAAATTAAAACACGATAAATAAAAAAAAGTGGGGGGGAATAAAAATTAAAACCAGTGCACCCACATTGCTGAGTTTAGTTAAAAAACAAACAAACCCCAAAGTCATGCAGTTGATTGGTTATTCTAGCAAGCAGCGTGCTGAGACAGATGTCGGTGGATAGTTTTCACACCCTCAAGAGGACTAGCGGCTTAAAAAAATGGAATTTATGTGTAGGGAAATGTACCTAGACGACACTGTATTTTATTTTTAATGCTAACCCTCCACAGGCTGTTTCCAAAGGCTGTTTCTTAAGACTATGAATCTGGCTTAAATGCTTGTTTGTTCTTGTAACCTCTCTCTTTGCAACCCAACCCTAGTGCTTTTTTTTTTTTTTTTTTTGCCCCGAGCCCTTAACTGCGTAGCCTGCAAAAATGCAGTTTTTTGCGAGTTTCTTGAGGGTTGCTGCTGTGTTCCTATTTAATCTGTTGGTCATAGACCGCCGATCCGGTTGTGTAGCTTAGCCAAACCAGCACCTTCCTAATTTTATGATATTGTTTGGAGAACTTGCAAAAAACAAAAACACAAAAAAACACTTTTTAAGGGAAAACTAAATAAAGGAGAGGTTCAAAGAACTCATTGGCATTTCAGTGCCAGCAAAAAGAAAATAAAAAGAAAAGAATTTTGCAAAAATCACCTGTCTGGAATCTCAAAACAGGAGCCTTCTATCCATAGCTACTGTATTTCCTCATACTTGACAGTTGATAAGGGAGCGTTGAGTTCACTACTTCAAATTCCAAGAAGGATGGTTTATTTGTTTTATTATCACACACACACACACACACATGCCAAAGTGAGAACTGGCTTTTGAACTGTTTTGCAAGAAGGAAAGGGAAAGGTCACGTTGATGCACCAGATAACAAAAGGGATGTAAATCTCATTTCTCAATTCCAGTTGGCTGGAAAGTTTTGTTGGGTCTGCTAAAGTGGTCTAAACACAGGCAGTTCTCGACGTCGAGCCCCAAATCCCCGTGGCTAAGCGAGGCATCTCTTTGGTGAGTTTCGGCCCCGTTTTACCATTGTTCCTGCCATCGTCGTTAAGTGGATCATTGCAACTGTGATTAGTCCCACGGTTGTTCAGTGTTCTGACCCAAACCTTGTTCCAAGGAAACCAACACGAAACGGAGGTAACAGCAAAACCTTTTCATGATTCTTTACGAATTCCGTTCCTTCCTGGTTAAAAGGCTGTTTCATAGTAATTGTCTCTGATAAGAAGGAGCCTTGCCAAGGTGGTGCAAGGCTGCCAAGAACACTAGATAAAGTTGCCAAGAAATAGTTCAAACACAAAGAGTCTCCAAACACAAACTAAGAGTCCAAACATCCACAAGGCTTGAGTGCAAAAACTTCTTTGCTTCCTGCAAAGAACTCCCGTTTCTCAGCTGGCTTTTATCTCTTAAAGGAGGGGGCCATCACCTTGCAGCCTTATTCCCAAGTCGCCTGTGCTGCTGCAGCTGCTCTTTCCTTCGAGCAGCCCTGTGCGCACGGCACTGGGCACAGGCTCCTCGGGGACCTCTTCCTCACTGCTGCCAGCCTCCACAATCTCCGAAGGCAGCACTCCACTCCCTGATGGTCCTGGCCCCATCTTTGCATCACACGCAGGCCCCGCATCCAAGTCCTCACTCTCCGAGACCTCACCTGCTGCTGGCGAACCACAACATTCAGCGAATCCGGCTTCCCCACTGACTTGGCCTGTCACAAAAGGGGATCATGTTAGACCCCGGGGACAATTTCAACCATCATAAATAGGAGTCGGTTGCCAAGAATCTGGATTTTGATCATGCGATCGTTGGGACGTCACTGCAAAAAATGGTCATAAGTCCCTTTTTTCAGTGCCGTTGTAACTTTGGACACTAAGTGAACTGACATATGTCGAGGACTTTCTGTAGTTATTATCTAGGTTTCTGGATGGTGGTTATATAGGAAATGAATCATAATTCTGCCTTGCAAACCTCACCCAACTCCTTATAACTCCACCGAGTTGATCCAGTGTGGATGTTTGCTTTTCCTTGGCATATTAACATAAATATTGAAATACAATAATCCATACTAGTCAACGCACAGCATTTATATTAAATGCCTCACATTAATATTAATGGATTACATTAATTTATATTAATTTATATTAATGTGTTACATTTCTACCCATGCATTGCCTTTATGCTAACATGTGACATTTATTTTAATCAATGCATTACGTTGTATTAATCCGTGCATGGCATTTATATGCCACCCAACTCCTAGCAAAGGTGACCTTTTTCCCATGTGGTCAGATATTCCTGGTCTTGGAAACTGGTGCAATATGATTTAATTAACATGGTTGACGTGTTTGGTGTCAAAGAGGCCAAGTTGCTAGTCCTCAGGGTTTCAGTAAGGGCAAGGAAGACGAACATGCCAGAGTCAAGCTAAGGATATTTACCTGATAGGGAGGGTTAATTGGAACCTCAGTTCCTCACCCATCTCTGTTGCGAGGAGCACACAGGAATCCCAAAGTTGGCACATTCACCCAAGTTGTCCTGGATTTTAATGTTTACGTTTTTATTTTGCATGGGGCAGGGATGAATTAATTGCGCTTTTGGCATTCGGCAGGGAAAGAGGCAGAAAATGTTCTTGGAGGATAACATTCGAACATGTGCAGGCTGGTGTCTCAGTTTTTGGCAGTTTTCCAGGCCAGGGATGGGAAGCAAGTTTGGGGATCATAAGGAGAGATACCTGTGTTTTTTGAGGTCTCAAGATTATGCTGCGTCCTGGGGTTATGTGATTACTTTTTGCCACCAGATTCACTTAACAACCATGCGACTAATTTAATAACTTGCAAGTGAGCCACTTAACAACGGTGGTGAGAAAAGCCGTAAAATTGGGGCAAAATTCACCGAACAAATGTTTTGTTTAGCACCCAGAAATTTCAGGCTCAATTGTGGGTCGTAAGTCAAGGACTATCTGTCTTCTAGAAGGAGGGGAAAACACCAAATCTGGTCCAAAAAGTGTGAATATTCCCATCCATATCTCCCACCTCCTTTTCTTTTTCTTTTTCCTTAATCTGTTAGGGAAAAGATGCCTTCATTTTCAAAACTCTTCTCTTAAAAATCTTGATATAAAGGGATCTTTTCTTCCAAACTTAAAAATGCTGCGTTCTGTAATGGAAAAAAAAAAGGCCCAAAGGAAAAAAGATACTATATATGAAGGACTTATTTGACTCTTGGAAAGCCAGGCTCAGTTCTTCCTCTGTTGCAAATTTCAACTATTTTCCACTGTTTTTGTGGTTAGTGTTTTCTTCTCCTAGTCGATTCCCTCATGCTTGAATTTCCCAGGCTTTGGGTCTGGCACACTCTCTTTTTCCTTCTTCTGGCATCTCCCCAAAAGCTTCTCCCCACCCCCCAAAGATTGAAATAAAATCGCATTGTCGACATTCCACCCCTGTACACATTTTGTGGCAAACGTTTTGTTGTCAGAATGCTCAAGGCAGGGAGGAAATTACCCCGAGATGAAACCAGCTCTTTGAAGTTTCTTCTTTTAAACCTTCCCCCACCTCCTTTTAAAAAATAAAATAATAAAAAAAAATAATGGAATGCTGGGTTTATTGGCTTGCTGTTATAAACAACGGTTGAAAAAAAAAAAAAACCCAATTGCATGCCAAGGTTCTTAAACCTGGCTTAAGCACAGCACAGCATTTAATAACCCAGAATTTCATCTTTTTCAGGTTTTTTTTTTACTTATCTTTACATGGGGGAAACATCATAAAGCAAGGTAAAATTTACTAGCAAGAAAAGATGGATGGATGGATGGATAGATTAGAGAAATAGATGAGGAGATTAGAGATAGGTAGGTAGGTAGATAGATACATTAGAGAAATAGATAAGGAGATGATGGATGGATGGATAGATGATAAATAGGGAGGATAGGGAGAAAAAGGGAAGGAGGGAGGGAAAGAAAGAAAAAAGGAAATTAAACGTCAACTCCTAAGAGATGTGGACACCACAACTAGGAATTGTTATGAGCAGGTAAGGACAGAGGATCCAGAAGTTATATCCTGTCCTCCTTTCAAATTTCTCAAAGAGAAATCTTAACAGCTTTTTGTACATGGCCTAATTTTTTATGTCAGGAACAATTTTCTTCTGCTAAGGTTGAGATTGTCCTGTGTCTAGCCAAGCCCTGATTGGGTTAGCTATCGTTCATTCAAGATGCTGTTGGAGACCCAGGTTGGATGGTCCTGTCTGCCGATGGCACAGAGTCTGTGAACTCAAGGTTTGGGGTTAGGTGTGTCACTCAAGCCCAGAATGTGTATAAGGGAAAGGGAGAGACAAACAAGGAATGGCACATAAAACTTCTTGAAGAAATTAAGATTTATTTAGCACATCCTGATAGCATGTCCCAGTAATTAGAATGGGCTCAGAGCCCAAAAAAACCTGCCTATCGTTCCAACAACAGCATTCCTTTCTTGAAAGCACTTGGAACAAAAATGCAGACGGAAATAAACATGTCCCTTGCTTTTTCAACATTGTTGTGCACTGTGGAAGTTTGGAGATGGCCCCCACTGTGGTTGAAACAAATTGCAAACTGGATTTGAAGAGGTGTTGGTAATCTTCTTGCACAGGGTTGTCCACTTTCCAAGAGTTGTGTTTAAAAGCAACAACAACAACAAAGCTTTGCAGATATTTGCTGTGAATTCACATGTTGCTTGATGGTCTTCTTGGATTGTGGGTCAGTTTGTGTTATTTTTCAGTTTGTGTTTAACCGCCAAGTCTTCCTCATCTCTAAAAGAAGTTTAGGATCTCTACTTTGGATTGCGGTACTATTGATTTCTTTGCAACATTTGTAGAGGCTGGTTTGACGCAACTCCTCAAGTCAATGAGAAAGGATGGAGAAGAATGGTTTATCTCTGGAAAGCTTGGATAGTTTTTTCGGCTTTCTGAAAAAGGGAACATTGGTAGGACTACACAATCCTCAGAGAAAATACCCTTCATGGAAACCACTCCAGAAATGGTCCCATCTCTTGGTATGACCATCACAACAGCTCTGCCAACAGTGTATTTGCCTCTGTAGTGTACTGTGGTTGTTTTAAACGTGGTTTATTAAATGCATCACAAGTTGTGGTATCCTTGGTGCTCTCTGAGCTTGATGGGTTTCACATTTCATTACCCAACTAGGTAACAACACAGTGCCTGAAGATGTGACCTACCACTGAATACCCAGCACTGATGATATTCCCTAGTTATAGACACAACTAACCTGGCCCTTCCCTTTCTCTTTTTTCCCTCCTAGGTCGCACAAACAGCAGATGGCTTAGATGCTGATCTTTGGAAAGATGGCTTGTTCAAATCCAAGGTCACACGATATTTGTGTTTCACGCGGACTTTCTCCAAAGAGAATGTAAGTGGATTGCTTTTTTTTTGGCCCAGACATTTTCTTAAAGTCCAAACTTGGAGCAAGAGGTCTGTTGCCTGATACTCTAAAGAAAATAAAAAAGGAATATAAGAAAGGAAGAGAGGGGAGAAACATTCGTGCATGTTTTGGTTCATTTTCCTTGCCTGATATCCTGGATCTGTCGCTTGACTCGCCAAAGCAGGCAGATAGGTACACTAATCGGTGTGGTGTAATGTTGAAGGGGTTGAAGTAGGATCAATGAGGATATATTTTGACTCCCTCCTCAGTGGTGAAGGTCTCAGCCCAGCTGCTGGTTGGAATTGTGGTTGTGAGAAGGTTGAAGGGGAGGGTGTTTTGGGCATTAACTATTGGTATAGCTGGTTCCTAAAGAGCCAGTTTGGATTAGGGGTTAAGGCCCTGGATTAGAAGCTGGGAGAATGTGGGTTTGGTCTGGGAGCCAGGAGATCACAAATTCGAATTAGAAATCAGGAGACACTACATTTGGATTTGGAGATCATGAGAAGAGCGGAGACCATGAGAAGCAGGAGACCCTGGATTTGGAGCCAGGAGACCATGAATTCTACTCTTGCTGTAGGCACCAAAGCCAGCTGCCTGGTTTTCGGCTTGTCCCTGTCTCTCAGCCCAAGAGCCAGAGTCAAATAATGGCGAAGGTTTTTCCTTTTCAGCCCATGGAAATTCCCTGGGGGAGGTTCTCCCTCAGCCCCAGGAAGCCCTTCCAAAAGGCCTTGCCAAGAATGCTGTACGGTCTTGTCTGTGAGTTGCCAGAAGCTGAGTCTGACTCAAAGGCAGACACATAAAACATCACTGGTTCCTAGTCAGGTTTTGTTCCCCATTATTCACATTCTCTTTGGTCTCCCATGCCAAGATTCTTTGGGGAGAAGAAAATGCATCTTGATGTTGCAGGGTGCAAAATCCATTTTCTCTCCTTCCATTCACCCCCGAGCAAAAGATGTTTCCAGAAAGGCTATGCTGACACAGGATGATGGGCTTCTACTTGTCTGGTTGTCAAAACAAGGGAGATCCCAGATACAGTTTCTGATGGAAACGTTATGAAACGTGAGCGTAGCAGCTTTGCTGTGGAACATGGTTTCTTCTCCAGTCAATTAATAAGGAACGACGTTGGCTTGGTTTCCAAGCGGGGTTCCTTGTTCCAACTTGGCATGGAAGAAACTTCTTTTTCCCCCGCATCTTACTCTGCTTTCTGGACTTCTTGGGCCTAAAGCTTAAAAAAAAAAGAAGCTGATTACAAAATGGATTTATGTCTTTTCTGCCCAGATAAGGATCTTCTCTGTCTGTGTAATTTTTTTTATGGCTGTGTTATATAAAACTGGAGCTGTGTAATTTTGGGAAGAGAGCCTCTGGAAAGATGTGGTTTCCAAAGGCTCCTTCTGGTAGTATGTCATCAGCGCACACACACACACACACACACACACACAAAAATAAGGGAATTATAAGCCAATGTCACAGTCTGATTTATGCTGGTCTGTAACTATAATACAGATTTGATTGATCGATTGATTGAATGTTTATGATCTTTCCAACCTCTTTGCCAATGCTCAAATCATTGTCTTTATCCAAGAATTAAATCTTCCAAAGCCATGCCTCTTGATCCAGCACCCCAACTTGAGCTTCAACCTCAGATGAGCAGGAATTGTGTGTGAGAAAGTCTGGATGCATGGATTGTGTTTGTACAGTAACCTTATTGACTGGGTGAATGGAGTCATCAGATTAACGATCTTGTGGGAATGTAATTTATGTTCATTGGGGTGGTTTAGCTTTTTGCTGAGTTCTCTCCACTATTTGCCAGTCACGGAGTGTCCTGCCTTTCTTCTAACAGAGTCACTTAGGTAATGTTTTGGTTGACATGAAACTCATAGACGTAAAAGATACGTTGCCCGTGGGCTTCATCCCAATTCAAGAAACTATGGATACACGTAAGTAGAATTAGTAGCCTTCGTTGTGCTCAGATCCTCTCTAGGTTCAACTAGGGAGAGGATTCTCTGACATAGCCAGCTTATGCATTGAGTTGAATTCTATCTGCATCCCTATCGTTGGGTTGCAGTTGAAGGTCAACCCATCAAAATCCAGACTAGACAGGAGAAAAGGAGGGAGGGAGTTAAACACTGAGGTTCAGCGGGGAAAGAAAGCTAAAAAATCCTGAACTATAGAAACATCTTGGTCAACATTCTGCCATCAGGACTGGTGCCTTCTGAGAAGTTCTGGATGAAGTTCCCCTCACACATAGTAAGGCACCACCATAACTGGAACCAATATGAGCTTCATCCAATGTAGCTGGATGTCCAAGTGTTACAATCCTGCCCTCTCCTCCGTAAGAGAGCATTTTTCTTTAGGATTGAGACCGTACACAAAGTCCACAATTGGCACTTCCCTTCGGCAGAAGTTTCACCAAGTTTTAAAGGTCCAGATATTCGTGTCTCTGCATGATTCAGGGTTAGAAGTTCTCTACAACTTGACCAGAAAGTTTGGAGATGGAAATGCACAAATGGGGTGGGAAGGAGAAACTGGGATAGTTGAGAGTAATCATTGTTAGTTTTCTCTTTCTTTGTGTGTCTGTGTTTCTCTCCTCTCCTCTAAGCCTTCAACTACTTGTAAAGAGAAGAGATTCTTTAAACTCACCCTGTCTTTTTCAGAAGAAACTGCTTTTCGGAAAAAGAGGTTGTGCATTAAATTTATTCCCCGGGATTCCACAGAAGCCGCCATTTGTGATATCCGGATCCTGGGCCGAGGCAAACAAACTCTTCCACAGTATACATACATAGGGTATGGAGGTGTTTTTGTTTTTCTCTGATATTAAGACCTTTCCTTGGCTTTTTTCAGATGAGGTTTCCCTTCCAGTAGGACCTCTAGCTCATTTCTAAAGGGTCTTTGTTGTGTCTTCTACCAACTGAATAAAGCATACAATGAATAATTAAGGGCACTCGGTATGTCTAGTATAATAAAAAGAAGGACTATGGGTGTCATAATAGCAGTTTTCCAATATTTGAAGGGCTGCCACAAAGAAGAGAAGATCAACCTATTCTCCAAAGCATCAGAGGGCAGGAAGTAACAGATAGAAATTTATCAAGGAGAGATCCAACCTAGAATTATGGAGAAATTACCTGACACTGAGAACAATTAATCAGTGGAACAGAATTTGTGGGTGCTCCATCACTGGAGGTTTTCA